TACCTGAGCACCAAGGGGAAGTACGCAGTGGCTGTGGAGGTCTTCTCTATCTTGGCCTCTGGTGCTAGTCTCCTGGGATGCATCTTTCTCCCCAAATGCTACATTATTCTCTTGAGGCCCAATCTCAATAGCAGAGGCCAACTCATAAGAAAAACATAATCTATGCATTTCATGACTTGGTGAAAATTTCTTCATTATTTTACTCCTGAATAAATTAATATAGTGAATCAACTTTCTCACCAGTGGAGTTAATGGTGAAACTCTCCACAATCATGGCTACTTCTTAAGAAAAATAATGTTTCCTCTCATGTGTCATGTGGGCCTGTGTATGTTCTCTAATGAAAGCAGGGTTAAGGGGAAAGCTTAGCATGCACAAAAACATGTGGATGCATTTCAAACGTCATTTCCTGGGAATTCCTTTAGCATGATGACTACAACAGTAAGACAAGGACATGGAGAACAGGCTTTGGCATAGAGGTTATTAAAAGCAAATCATTTTGACAAATTTCACATGTCATTTCTGGGAATTACCTATTTTTGATCAATGCAAAAGGAGTGTCTGAAAATGGGACAATTTGGGGAGGAAATTGAGCCTAGATGCAGGAATAGATTCCAGTTGGAATCACCCCATTCTTTAGAGGTTGCCATCATGTCACCCTGTCCTCTGGCCCCATATTCTCTGGGTCTTTCAGTATAACTCAGCAGCTCCTGGCTCCTTTCCTCACTACCACTGCATCCTTGGCACTTGAGTGTAACAAGAGGATGTTGATGGAACATTCTCCCTGACTGAAGGCAAGACTCTCCATGGATTTCTTTGTAGCCATGACTTGTGGGCAATTCTTTGAAGTTCCCTATTCCCTTCAGTGTTCTTTGCTTTGCCCTTGCGGCTGTCGCATGCCCTGGCCTTGTCGTGCGCCATAGTTTGCCTGGGTGTTGTGCTCTTTATCCCTTGCTGCTGATCTCAGGATTGAGCTTAGAGACAGGAATGGATTCCCCTTTCTGCAGGGGAAAGCTTGCCAGTGGATCATCCTTCCTTCTGGGAGTATTTTCTGAGAGTTCAGGGGTTTTTTAAACAGCAGCTCAGCAGCTTCTGGCTCCTTCCATCACTGCCAATGCAGTCCATGGCATGTGATTGTAACATGAGGATGTGGTATGGAACTTTCTCCCATGGCTGAATGGAGGACTCTTTCCTCTGATCTGTTTGAACATGTTCCTCATCTCTCAGCAGCAATGTAAGGCACAGTTCATCTGGGTTTTGGAAGGGTGCAGCTTAAAGCAAGTGAATGAAAAGCCCTTTGCACACTTCACATAAACTTGTAGCAGACAGAGGATCACGTCGCTAGTGTTCAGGATATTTGGAAGATATGATTTGTTGGGGACGAAATTGTGGAAAGATTGAAATAAGAGGGAAAGTCTCTCTTGATTCTACCTCTGGGCTGCTGCATCAGTCCAGCCAACACATGGTGCACACAACATGACAAAGCACTGTTTATTTATTTGTGTATGCATTTATTTAAAACTTTTGTATGCTGTCCGATCACTGACAACTTGGGATGGTTTACAGCACCAATAAAATAAAATAAAATAGAGATAAAAGTAGCACAGCATCCTATAATAAATATAAAAAACCACAAATCAATACAATTAACAATTAAAATAGTGGGAAAATAAAAAGGTTTTCACCTGGCACTGAAAGGAAAAGATCAACTCTATCTAGTACATCCATTCACCCAAATCAAAGCCCCTTAAGGTAGCTGGGCATGAGATTTAACTGTGCACACTTCAGGTGCTGATGGCCTACAGTTGCTTTGTTTTGTGCGATGAAAGTGTGTCATTAGTTTAGAGCAGTGTGATGCCTTTTTCACCACATCTTTCTGATGAGCAAACCAGGGCACCTGTTGACTCACAAAACATCCCTAAATATGGAAAGGCTTGGCCTTGTTTGAGTTGAATTGGCTGGCTCTTCCATGGACCATTTGAGGACACTGCCATTTCTAGAAAACAGCATGACTTTGGATTTGCCGTAGTTCACAGCCAGATGATCTACTTGGCAGTACTTGCTGAATGCTCTCAGCAAAATTCTTAAGCCCACTCTGGTTTGGGAAAGCACTACAGGAGACTGGAAATAAGTTTGAAGCCAACTTGGGGGCTGGAGTAATTAGGCCCTCAACAAAGTCATGCATATTTCATTTGAATGATGCAGGAGAGAGGATGCAGTGTTGTTTGACTTCCTTTGTAACAAGCATGGGTCCAGGAGTTGTTCATTTGGTAAGAATCAAACCTTCAGGCAGGTCTTGAAATATAAGCATGTGATCAGAAAGAGGAGTCTTTTGTCTATGGTTAGAAAATTCATTTTGTTCCAGAGTCCAGCCACAATATTGAACCAAATGCAGCCCACGGATCAATAAAAGCTCCACACAATGTCACAATAGGTCTCAGAGCATATTTTTCATTAAGATCAGCTGGAAAAAACAGTGATTTACTTCCACAAAGCTGAACCTGAATGAACTTGTTAACGTGATATGAAAACCAACATCACCAAAATAAATCCAGTATGGAAAATGTCATTTTGATTAATAACATAATACATATTAAGAATATGGCTGTACTTAAAATATATTATTATTAATTATACTGTACTAACAATGATGTGATACCCTTCATGGATCACTGCCTTGCTGTGATGAAGGGGCTTGTGTAGCACAATGAAGCTTTGAGCTATGCCATGCAGGGCCACCCAAGATGGACAGGCCATAGCAGAGAGCATTAACAAAAGCTGATCCACTGGAGAAGGAAATGGCAACCACTCCAGCATCCTTGCCATGAAAAACCCATGGGCAGGATCCAAAGGCTAAAAGATATGATGCTGCATGATGAGTCCCTCAGGTCAGAAGGTGTCCAGTGTGCTGCAGAGGAAGAGCAGAGGGCAAGGACTAGTAGCCCCAGAAAGAATGAAGTGACTGAATCTGTGCCAATAGGACACTCAGTTGAAGGTGAATCCGCTGGTGAAAGGAAAGTTTGATGCTGTAAAGGGCTCAGGACTTCATGGCCTCTATGACGGCCATGGCCCTGTCTCAACACGTCATCGGCCCGACCCATGAACGTGGACACACTCTGGACCTGGTATTCACGACGGGGCAGGAAGAGGATGACCTGAGGGTGAGGAACTTATGTTTGACTCCCCTGTCATGGTCAGATCACCTCCTGGTGAGGTTTGTGCTCGAGAGCGGCCTCTCCCTCTATGAGTGCAGACCCGGTTGTATGGGCCCACCCCCGGAGCCGGATGGATCCGGATGGATTCCTGAAGGCCCTGGGGGAGTTTCCGGCTGACAAGACTGGTGCTCCTGTCGAGGCTCTGGTAGAACTGTGGAACGGAGAGATGACCAGGGCTGTGGACACGATCGCTCCCAAGCGTCCTCTCCCACCGGGCAGAGTCCGCTCTTCCCCTTGGTATACACCTGAATTGCGGGCGATGAAGCGAGTTGGGAGATGGCTAGAGCGTAGGTGGAGGAAGTCACAGAATGAATCTGACCGAACACACTTGAGAGCCCACTATCGGGCCTATGCTGTGGCGGTGAAGGCGGCAAAAAAGAAGTTTTTTTCCGCTTCCATTGCCTCCTCACAATGCCGTCCGGCGGAGCTTTTTCGAGAGGTGCAAGGCCTGGTTCGCCCGGGTCCTAAGGAAGACCCGATGCCACCCTCAAAGGCCCGCTGTGACGACTTTGCCAGGCATTTCAGGGAGAAAATCGCTCAGATTCGTCATGAGCTGGCTCCACTAATGAATCGGAGGTCTCTGAGGAGTCACCAATGCTACCGTCTGGTCCAAAAATATTGGAAGAATTTCAATTATTGCGGCCCGATGATGTGGACAAGGTGCTTGGACGAGTACGTCCCACCACTTGCCTATTGGATCCTTGCCCATCTTGGTTAATAAATAACTCCAAGCACGGGATTGGGACCTGGATCTTAGAAGTGGTTAACGCTTCTCTGAGGGAGGGTCGAGTGCCTGCCCCTTTAAAGGAGGCGGTAATATGACCGGTCCTGAAGAAAGCGTCACTGGATCCAGAGATGGCCACTAACTATAGACCTGTGGCCAACATCCCGTTTCTGGGCAAGGTGTTGGAGCGAGTGGTGGCGGGACAACTCCAAGCACTCTTGGATGAAAGTGATTATCTGGATCCTTTTCAGTCTGGCTTCAGACCTGGGTACAGTACTGAATCTGCCTTGGTCGCTCTGTACGATGACCTGTGCAGGGAGAAGGACAGGGGGAGTGCATCCCTGTTGGTTCTTCTGGACCTCTCGGCGGCTTTCGATACCATCGACCATGGTATCCTTCTGGATAACTAGTGGGATTGGGGGTCAGAGGCACTGCTTTGCAGTGGTTCCACTCCTATCTCAACGGTCGATTCCAGAAAGTAGTGCTAGGGGACTATGTCTCTGCGCCATGACAGCTATGCCATGGAGTACCACAGGGCTCCATTCTATCCCCTTTGCTATTTAACATCTATATGAAACCGCTGGGAGAGGTCATCAGGAGGTGTGGGCTGCGGAATCATCAATACGCTGATGATACCCAGCTTTACCTCTCGTTTTCCACCAATCCAGGTGAGGCAGTGGCTGTGCTGAACCGGTGCCTGGCCGAGGTAATGGGCTGGATGAGGGCCAATAAACTGAAACTCAACCCAGACAAGACGGAGGTCCTGTTGGTTGGTGGATCGGGCTTCGGAGAGGGTAGATTTGACCTGGTCCTGAATGGTGCAACACTCCCTCTTAGGGACAAGGTCCGCAGCTTAGGAGTACTCCTCGACCCGGAGCTTTCTTTGGAAGCTCAGGTGACAGCAGTGGCGAGGAGCGCCTTCCTTCAGCTTCGGCTGATTAATCAGCTGTGCCCCTACCTGGAGTACGACTGCCTGGCGACGGTGACACACGCACTGGTGACTTCCCGCCTAGACTTCTGTAACACGCTTTACGTGGGGCTTCCCCTGAAGACGGTCCAAACACTTCAATTGGTGCAAAATAGAGCTGCCAGGTTGCTGATGGGGACGGGGCGTTATGCTCACATGACTCCAGTCCTCTGTCAGCTTCACTGGCTTCCCATTGAAGCCCTGGCCCAATTCAAGGTGTTGGTTATGAGCTATAAAGCCCTAAACGGCTTGGGTCCTGGCTACCTGAACAAGCGCTTACATCCGTATATGCCCAACCGCCCCTTGAGATCTGCGAGAGAGTCCCTTCTCTGGGAACCCTCCATGAAAGAAATTAGGAGAGTAAGTACTCGGAGGAGGGCTTTCTCTGCGGTGGCACCCAACCTATGGAATTCACTCCCCAAAGAGGTCCGCCTGGCACCGTCGTTACTGTTAAAATATATGATCTGGCCAGGACAACTTCTTCTTCCTTCTCTTTTCTCCTCCTATATTCTTTATTTACTTATTTTATACTGTTAATTTTATTCAATTTTAATTTTATATTATTGTATCTCAGTGTATTTTTGTATTTAAGTGGTAATTTATTATGTTCTATTGTATTTGAATGTATCTTATTGTGTTGTAAGCCACCCCGAGGCTTCGGCAAGGGGCGGCATAGAAATGTAATAATAATAATAATAATAATAATAATAATAATAATAATAATAATATTGCTAGTCCATCTAGCCCAACATTTATCTACTGACTGGATCCAGCTACCCAGGTTCTCAGGCCGGAAACTTTCCCAGCCTGTGCCTAGACATGTCAGGAAATGGGACCTTTTGCATGGATGGTTAATCATGGATTGTTGGGTATGAGTTGCAATGAGCAAACAGACTCCAGCATGTCCCTCACATGTTCAGGGCAGAGAATTTTATCAGATCACTATCGGCAATTCTCAGCAAGGCCCTTCTGAGCCTTTTACTCAAGTGCTTTTTAAATTCGAGTTGATGGAGATTATACCCAGAAGCTCCTGCATTTACCCACTTAGATTAGCCTTTAAGGTATGCCCCCCTCCCTCAATTAGCAGAGTATGAGCTGTCCCAAATGGTAGTTACCAATGATCTTTAAAAAAACTTAAAAACATTCAAGATAATAAAAAGGGGAAGGAAGATGAGTACCTGGGTTTGACCTCTCTGAAATAATGCTGATCCATGAAGTGTTTTAAACATGTCTACTTCACAATTGATATTTCTAAGTGAAGTCAAGTCTCTGCCATCACATCTGGAGGAGGAAAGTTAAGAAACAGAGAGAATAGTTCCCAAATTTTGTGTTCACTTCAGCTCAGTATCTGTCACATCCTTTGACCTGGATCCAGAAGAGTTACAACTCCTTTACAAGTACAGATCTGAAGGCTCAGGGAAAAACGTACCCTCCACACACACACCTGTCCCATCCCCAACCCCCACTTTTTTCCAGGACAAAAACTGTGACCGGAAAAGACAGTTTTCAAAATTTTCCCATTTTGCAGTGGCTGTGCGTTACTGATGGAGTGAAGGGGGAGCTGTAACATGGAGATTAATCTTGGCTACAAATCCTGCCTGGTGTGCACACACTGGTCTGGTTAACACCGAATACTAACCTTAATTCCCAGGATGTTTGTTTCCCTCCTCCTGCATCCATTTGCTTCCCCTCCCTTTGCATCCCAAATGCTTTTGCAGCACTGTAAGACTCGCATGTAGAGTGGCTATGCCGCTTGTTTTGTTTTTTGGTTGGGTGCCTCTGCAGCATGGTGAAACTAGCCACACACAATTCTGGGATTCCACATAAAAATCACCCATGGTTCAACAACTTAAGAGTTCAACAGCCAGCAACAAAACATGGCTTTTCTTTTGGGGTTATCTGTAGTTAACACACACATCAAGACAACCCATGATTTGTTAATTGAAACCATGGTTAGCAAGGCTTCTGGGTGCCATGCAAAGAAGGGACCAATACAGGCATGCCTTATTTGTACTGCAAAGAAAAACAGTGGGACACCGTATATTAGGTGGATTCCTAATCAAACAAGATTTCCAAACTTGTAATCAGGCAGAAGCAGAACTTTCCTGTAAACCGCTTAGACATATTTTTGCACAGGACAGCAGTATAAATTTCTATTAAATAATTAAAAAAAGCTAGTCGAATCCTGCTGATCCACCATACACAAGTTCTGCACCCAAAATACCTCTCTACATATTGGCTCATATACAAGGCCAGGGTGAATTATCCTGGTTTTGGTCTGTTAATGCCCTTTTTCTGTGGATCAATGCGTTTCAATACAGAAACAGTAAATCCCATACTTACCTTCTATATTCAGTCAGAATAAGATTTCTAAAGATTTCCTTAGAAACAATATTAAAGGATTCCATTATTTGATAAGACTCAGCTTCTGGGAACTTTTCTAGAAGTAAAATACAGAACAGAAATACAAGTTGTGCACAATTATTTTCCCAGGCTTGCAGGGAAGCAACATGCTGCCATAAAAGATAGTTTTTCAATGTGAAGCACCTACCAAATGCTGACAATGCCTATGTTCTTCTTACAAATTTGACCATTGGCAAGGGCTGTGCTCCAAGCACCAAGACAATAAAGTTTAGGCTGTCTGTCTTTCTTTCAGCATGTACAGAGAGCTCAGTGTGGGCCAAGATCTTAGGTACTAGTGAAGGTCAGTAAGGTGACAGAGTGACAAAGGGACATGGCCTCTTTCTCATCTTTATCTCTAAGCCAGATTACTGCACTCTGTGTGGGGCTGCTCTTGAAGACTCTTCAGAAACTGGAGCTTATGTGAGATATGGCAGCGCGATTAATAACTGGGTCCAGAAGGTCTGAAAATATAGCATTAATTCTAATTGGTTGTACTGGCTGTCTGTGTGTTCCTGACTCCATTCAAGTTGCTGGTTTAAACCAATAAACCAAGTGTAGATTGGAACAACAATACTTGATGGAACACGTCTACCAGCTGCAATCTACCTGGACATTACAGTCAAAATCCAGGCCTACCATTTCCAAGGGAAGCTCAGTCGGGGGCAACAAGTAGGAGGGCCTTCTCAGTGGCAGCCCCTCAGTTATGGAACAAACTCCCCACCTGTGCCTCTCTAGTGCCATTCTACTTCCTTTTCTGGCACTGGGTTAACACATTTCTATGACCCCAACTCTTATTAATTTTAATATTATACTAAGGAATTATGTTAGCTGCTTAGCTAGTCTTATGATTCAATCCACATTGGTTTTTGTAGCTTTTAAAAGTTTCAACTGGTTAAATTTGGCTTTAAATTTTTGTACTGCAATTTTAAATGATTGTACTGTTATCTGTACATTACATACTGTATTTGATGCGCTGATCTAAACCACCTGGAGAGCTTTGGGGATTGAGCAATATAGAAATAAGATCGTGGCTCATCATCACCATCATCATCCAGACCTCTAGAGGGAAACAATACTGGCATACAGGGCATTGCTTCTTAGGTACAGAGGGCATCGACTTCAATTGGCTTTACTCTCAGAGAAGTCCATATAGGCTTGCAACCTTAGTTCTCACTGAGGTGAAAAGACATCTTTACCCTATGACAGGGTTTCGTTTACAAAAAAGCCTCATGGACATAGAGGTAGAACACCAAACCTCTTCCTCATCCTTATAAACTATAAACTTATCTAACAGGTCTAGAACTGTAGACAGAAAAGTACAGTATTGAACAATGAATGTATCTGACCTTTTAACTGTTCTTCTGTGTCAAGCCTGATGTTGTTAATCGCTTCATCTCTTGAAATCTAGAATTTAAGATTTCTATTAGAGTTCCAGAACCATTTAAAACCTACTAAGATGACATTCTGAATTTCTTACACATCCCACTCATGAGCGCTAATGTAAATGTCGAAATAATTGCACAAATACTGAAACAAGTGCCTTTGCCCATATCAACTTGCCTGTAGTTTAAGATCTTTTATCAAATGAGTGCCTTTGCTGGCGGTACACTGCATAAAAAAAGGAGCAGCTTCACTGACATTGGTCAGTGGTGTCCTGGGCACAGAACACCTGCCCTAGATAGGCTTGTGTGATGTGTACATGTTGCAATCTTTTCAAAGCCAGGCAAAAATATCCTCATTTACCTAGGCAATATGTTTTATTTATTTTTATTTATTTATTAAGACATTTTTACGCCGCCCCATTCGCCGAAGCCTCGGGGCGGCTTACAACAATAAGTTAAAATACAAATACATTAAGTTAAAATACAAACATTAAATTATAACCTTAAATTAAGATGTTTGTAAAGTGTAGACATAAAGTTAAAACACAAAATAACAATATAAAATAAGTCGCCCTGGCCAGAAAAAATCCAATAATATTAACAATTAAAATGTTAAGATTTTAACTAACATTAAATTAAAAATTAAAATGTTGTAACCAGTAAGAACAATTAAAGGAAAGGGTTAGGGGGTTTTGCAATATAGTTAATTTCATCCAGCAAAAACACTAACGTTTGCTGTTTTGGGGGATATTTTTGAACCCCAGTTGCAAAATGACCTCTGGTGATGCAAATGTCTCCTATGAAAGGCCATCCTTTGACTAAATGTTTTCCCCAACAAGTAACAATTAGTATAACAATGGATAGTAAGAATAACTTCAGACTGACTGTTTCCTGGATTAATGGACAATCAGAGGCAGCCTTAGGGACACTGTTTATCAACAAACATCTGAGAACACACTAGAAGGCATAACCCATAGGTCTAATATGCAAAGTACGCAAAATAATATGATCCTGGGGTATGAAAGTCATCTCAAGATGGTAGATTAAGGCTGTACATAGCCCCAAATCCTGATAAGATGGAGGGAAGAGTATACACTTTGCTAAATTTAGTTATGTTAGCCACCTTGAATATCATTTTGTTGGTAGAAAGAGGGCACACAAATCAAACAGCTAAATAGTTTTACATAAATAACTTACAAATTTCCTACAGAATAGTCTATCTGGAAGATATGGAGCTCAATCTTATGCTTGTTCAGACAGAAAGAAACCTTACAATGCTCTTTCTGACTTAATGAGCATGGAACCGAAGTTTTATGTTCAAAAACATTTTACTCTGTTCATAGTCCTAATTGCTTGCAATTTTTTCATATTAACATCATCAACACAGAACACCTTTTGTTGACTCTACATCTAGCTTACAGTATTTAATACTACAACTCAAAATAGAAAGGTAAACGGAATACAGAGGCTTGTGCTCTCCAATGCTAATTACTCCATAAAAACTAGAAGTGCAGCAGTGGGCCTGCAGCCGCCTTCTTTTCCTAGGTTACTAACTCTCAGCCCAACCTACCTCACAGAATTGTTATGATAAAATCAAGAGGAGGATTATGTAAGCCACCCTGAGTTCTTTGGAAGTAAAAAAAAGGCAGGATATAAATATAATAAATTATTACTGCTACTACAGTGCATTTATATCCCACACTTTCTCCTCTTGGAAGGAAGGCAAGGCAGCTTCTACAGTTTTCCACTCCATTTTTATGCACACTACAACCACCCTGTGTGGTGTGTTAGGCTGAGAATCCATGACTGACTCAAAGGCAGCCAATGCACTTCAATGACTGAGAGCGGACTAACACTGGCATCTCCCAGGTCCCTAGTCCAGCCCGCTAACCACCGTGCCGCATGGGCTCCCAGAGGCATGAGAGAGGTATTTCTAGCTTTCTGAATCAGGGCTGCTCCAGGCAGAAGACAGCAGGCCGCTGAGGAGCCTGGGGTTGGGGATTCTTTGTATTCTTATTTGCATTTACAGTAAGAATAATTTCAGATAACAGATCGCTAAATGGCATGTGTTACTTTAAACAGATTGAAGACAGACAAAGAAGATTTAGAAGTGACCGAGATGCAATTTATCAAAATAAGTTTAGGTACTCACCTTATCATGGGTGAAGTCTGAAAACACAGCGGTGATCTTTTCAGATGCAAGTCTTTGCAAAACAAAACAGGAAAGGGAGAGGAGAGGGAAAGTGGGACAAATTGTAGCTACTGTATAATTTATGCCAACTTGCCCCATCTCTGCGATTTCTAAAGGTGGATGAAATATTGCCCAAGTGATGATTTATTGCTAGTGTGTTAAATAATACAACTATAGACGCATCCGACCCGTCTTGGAACAGATTAATGACCCAGCAAAAATCTGATAGTTTGTTTGATACTTCCGGAGCCAGAAGATAAAAACAACATAAAGATCAAAACATCTTTATGCCCACCTGTCACACATGGCTTTTCCTGCTACAGACATCTTTCCCTTATTGACTCCATCCATGAACCACTGTCAGAGCAACAAGGGCAAAGCGGTGAGCACAAGTCTACTGCAATGTCCTTAACGCTTATGATTCTTCACTTACATGTGTCTGTCAGTAAACATGGCACTTCACAGAGTAACAATCCAAAGGTTGGTTAATCATTAGGAAAAAGACAAGGAAGCAGTTTGTATTCTGTAAACCTTGGAGATCACCATGTGCTTCCTGAGAGACTCCCACTGGCTCAGGAGAGCCTTACTCACCAAGAATACATGAGAGGCTGTGGCTGACCGGCAGCAAGGCCTTCTCACCTGCAAGGTGTTGCTGCTAGTACCATGGCAAAATCCATTGTATCTATACTGCAGATGTGGAGCTGAGGCCAAGGTAGGATGGCTATCCTAAGGTCAACATCTGAGCTTGATAGAAGGGATATTATTATTGCAATATTTATATACTATGTTTTTCTTTTCAAGGAACTTGATTGTTTACATAATTCTGCTCCTCCCCTCAATCTAATCCCCCCAACAACAAACCTGTGAGGTAGGAGCTGTGACTGGTCCAAAGCCACCCATTTAGCTCCATGGCTGAGTGGGGACTTGCACCCAGATCTCCCGAGTCCCAGTCCTGCACCCTTAACCACTACACCACACTGGCGCGCTAATATTTGAAAGGAGGATTTCCTCACTTTCAGCTTAGCTTGTTAACCACTGCAATAGCTTCCAACACACACTGCAGTAATTAGATATCTAATACTGTTGCATAAATCTATGAAATTGAGTGTAGCCATTTGTCAAACAGCAACTGCAAGATGTAGGTCAACATATTGCTAAACTGCTAAAAGGGAGCTGGGTTGGCCATGACTGTGTTTAACTTTAAACATCTCAAAAATGCAACTGCCTTTATTTTTAAAAAGGCTTACTTAATGTAACTCATGTTTTGCTACTACTGCCCACACAGGTTTTGCTACCTGCCATTTGGGTGCTTGATTCAGATGTTAATTTATTTTCCACCCTCACTTCATTGCTAAAACATCTGAAGGATGCTGGGCAGACTCCAACACCTCACAGCCTTTCTGTGGGATGAAGGATGTGTGTTAGAAATGGCTGTGAAGAAAAAAAGGGCAGAGGTTCAAGCTGATTAATAACAATTACCTACAAAATAGAAGTTTCAAACAGATCTTCGTTACTCCAAACTGCAATCATGCCTCCCTTGCTCTCTTTAATTATCGGAGCAATACACACTGTATTAAATACACACTTTAACATAAAGAGAATTTTTTTTTCTTAAGAACTTAGAAGAGTGTGAAATGTTTAATTAAACTAGTGCAATTGCTGGGAACTATTTCAAAAGGATGGTCCAAAATGACCTAATTTTAGAATTACATTTTTAACCCAAACTGTCTTGAGCCCTGATGGAATAGGTAGAACAAAGATACATTTTAAAACATAAGTAAAGGGGAATTTGTGTGACTTGCCATTCCAAATACCAGTCCTGTCCTCTCTCCCACCCTTTCTTTTCCATGGAGCTCCAGAGATAGAAGGCAGCATCAGCAATTGGGTGGATAGGTGCCAACTGGGTCAAAAGCTTCTGCCAGCTCCAAAAATTAATTTCCCAAGATGAAAGGCACTACCTCTGGCCTTCATTACTGCAAGCTACTTTGTCAGCAGGACTAGCTAAGGACAAGGAAAGTGGGAAAAGCACAGCAAGATTTTAATAGTCTGTACAGCTCCCTTTCAATTCTCCATAACTTCTAAACCTGACAGATTTGATCCATAAAAGCAGGAACAAGCCAAGAACTGCATTAATTTAGAAAGTATCTTCCCTCCATTTAAATCATCCCATAATTTTGTTTAACTAAACAATTTATAATATGGAGCACAACCTTTCTTACAGTGGGCCCACATGCTCCTCAGATAATCCCAGCACAGTTAATCCTTCTGACTGGGTTTGTATGACATGGATATCCATCATAAAATATCATGGTATATATGAAACACATAATGATAGGGAACCGTAATGAAAGCCAGTGCGGTGAAAAGGTTAACAGTGTTAACGGGATTCAGGCAACCTGGGTTCTAGACCTCACTCAGCCATGGAGCCAATGGGGGAACTTTGGGCCAGTCACAGCTCGCAGCCCAGCCACCTCACAGGGGTATTGTCGGGATAAGACTGAGAGAATTATGTAAGCAACCTGGAGTTCCTCGAAAGGAAAAAAGGAATATAAATATAATAAATAAACAGTGACAGTGATTTGATGTGTCATCCAAACCGCTTTACAACCCTTCTGCATGGTGGTTGGTTTGTGGTCTATGAGGTACCTTCGATGAGCCATTATCGTTTGATCCCAGGTGACCAACCCAACCCTTGGGCCAGGGAAGCAGGGAATGAGCCACTCAGGAGGACCAGAGCTCACGAATGCCCAATGCCATAGCTGAGTGACTGTCACAGGCTTGGTGCCCCCTGGGTCAATTGCGTATTCTTTTAATCCCTTTTGGAGATCGCTTGGTTTGATCTCTAAAGTGACACTTGGTGACAGCCTCTTCAAAACACCAGGCGGCACAGTGGAGAGGCTGTCACAGACTGCCACCCACCCTTCTTTAAAAAACAAACAAACCCTTAAACACAGCAAGTTTACACACATATTTTGGGCTTTTTAAATTTAGCTGGTCTTGCACAAGGGCCAACATGCACACCGGTACAAGCCTCATCTGGGCATTGTCCTGGGTGGTGCCGGCTGTCAAGGTGCAATGGGCACGAACCATGGACCATGACTCAGCGAGACTGCAAATAAGTGTATTTACTTTACTTTGCAACTCTCTGGACATTTCTCCTAAGGTGAGCTGTCTAGGCAAAGCCAAACTCAAGCAAGCTTTTCTTGCAAAACTGGGGTGAGGGCTTTTTTCCCCACTCCCTTTCCATATAACTTTACTTTTAACAGCTCTTAAAGGTTTTTATCTTTAAACCCATCAAATGTGAACATCTGGGGGAGTGCAGCACAGAAATATATGCAGATCTCAGCCATTGAGAGTCACTCCAAAGTGCTGCTTGGGTAGTGGCATGGGGCTCTGGGGAAACTAGTGAATGAAATAAGGTCTCAATTGAATCAGGGATAGAGAGGGGCAAGATGGTTCTGCTTTGTAGGATGCTGGGATAGTGACCAAAGGCCTGGGGTGGGGAGAGACAAAGCAACCCATGGTAAGCTTAACAGTCCGTTGGATGTACCATGCGTTTGCAGGGTGGGTTGTCCTGTCATCCAAACATGTCTATTGCTTATCTTTAGGAAGAGAATTTTACCACAATCATTTCAACCCATCCCATGCTTTCTAGAGCTCAAAACTATCTCCCCTAAATCTCAGATTTTCCAAATGTTATTTTAGTTTAGATCTGATTAAATATTTTAACTTTTACTTTTCAGTTTAACACTTAAACATTTAGCATTTTTATCATCAGCTGCCTTATGAGAGTTGCTGAAAGGTAAGAATGTAAGAAAAGCCATGCTGGATCAGACGAGAGATCCATCTAGTCCAGCATTCTGTACATACAGCGACAAACCAGTTGTCCACAGGATCCCTCCGTTAGGATGAGTGCAAGACCACCTCCTGCACAAGCTCCTGTGCAAGTGGTGTAGGCAGGCAGGCCACCTCTGGTGAAGGAAGAAGCACATGGCCTACAAGGCTAGTAGCCACTGATAGCCTCTTCCCCCATGAATCTGCCCAATCCCTTTTAAAGCCACCTTTTGATGAAAAGATCATCAAGTATAAAGACATTTCACTGGAGACCTAGGCCAAGATCATCTGCATTACTGTGTCCCCAGAAGGAAAAAAATGATACTGGAGGAGAATACTTTTGGCTAACAGAAAAACAAACATGTGCAACCTAGATTAAATCCAGTTAGAATTTACCCTGGGAGCAAAAATGAAAAGCTGTCATACTTGGGAGTTTATTATGAGAAGGCAAGAGTCACTGGAGAAGACAATCATGCTAGGGAAAGTCAAGGCAGAAGAGGAAGGCCAAATACGAGGCAGCTCAATTCCATCAAGAAAGCCTAGAGTTTACAGGAGCTGCAGGGCTGTCAAGGATAGGACATTTTGGACTGCATTCTTTCAGAGGATCAACAAAAATAGCTTAATGGCAATGGAACACCACCAGCAGCAGGAGCAGCAGCAGATGGATGTGAAGTCTGACTCATCTTAAGACAGCTTTCTACATACTTATGGGAGTGTATGTTGGACTTTTAAATATATTAAGCAAATTATTCAGTTATAGCACTGTAATCCAGACATCTTGTTCCAAACTTACTGCTTTGCACATTCCACAATCTCTTCTGGAGCTGTGAATAACTTCTGGACAGTTCTCTTGACAACCCCCTGCTCTTTTGCCAGTTGTTGTATCCCCTGAATTATTTGCTGGGTATGCTTCACGCCTATTTTGATGGCATGGCAGAAGTCCTGCTGCAATACATTCTCTGCTGAGGCTTCCAGCATAACTATGGAGTTAAACAGAGAAAAACATAACTGATACATTGTAGCCACCAGCTCCTATTACAAAGGAAAGGGCAGTTCCCACATAATGGCAGCAAATTATGGGATAATCGATCCAATATTTGCTGCAGCATATACTGGTCATGTTCCACAGCTTTTTTGAATATTCAAACCCTGATTGGGCTGACTGGGGCTTGCTATGAGACACCCAAAAAGACCATTGAACCCACAGTTAACTTATTAACTGAGTTGGTTCACACTCAATAGATGCCACTATGGGTTAATTTCCATATGGGGCTTCTTGTTGTAGCTCCCATCTGTGGCAGAAGCATGCTTACTATGATGTAAATCTGGCAAGGGTGAAATTTTGGGGTGGTTAACAAACCACCTGTATTCTTAAAACTAGATCAGTAAATTGTTATGGGATGATAATTTATCCTGAAAAACAGTTTTTAAAATCCATTTGTTAGAGCAGTATGGCAATGGGACCAATGACCTAGGCAGGTTGTGGGCTTGCCCACACTGGAAGCATTCAAGAAGCCACCTGTCTGGGATGCTTTAACTTGTAGTCCCGTATTCAGCAAGGAGTTGGACTCAGTGGCCTTATATGCCCCTTCCAACCTACTATTTTATGATTTAATAATAGTACAAGGTCAGCCCTCCCTGCCGCCGAAGGGCTGATGGACCCACTACCCAACCAACAGACCATGGGAGAACCTCCTTGTCCTTCTGCCTCTGTTGCATCTTCTTCTCAAATGCCACTCAGACCCTCTTCTTTCTAGTCCAAGTCCAGTCTCAAGGATTTCAGCTCACCCAGCGATGGGAGCGCTCTTCAGGAACTTGGACCAGGGGCAGAGCAAGGTGGCCTGTGTCCAGGGTGCTGAGCCCAAGGATCCCAACAGAGACCCATCCCCAAATGGATTTCTCCTACATCCCAAATATAAAGTCTAGCCACAGTGTTTTGATCTGCATTTGCCAGCCCACACAGACAGGTCATCCCTTGCATGCTGTGTTTAACCACTTACCAACTTGGCTATGGGGAGCACCAGCTACCACTAAATTTAAAGTACTGGAAGACATTTCTTTTCGGGTGGGATTCACGACCACTTCTCCATTAATGAGTCCTACTCTCACTGCACCTAAGGAGAAATCCCATCAATTAACAGATTCTACCAGGCAACTTTTCAAAATAGCTTTGAAGACAAAGCTCACTCAGGAACTCATGTAAGCACTTTCCAGAAGTCATTTTAACCCAGGCACAGCAATACGGTTGGAGAGGATTGTGCAGTGCTTGTCAGCTTAGCTACCGAGTGATTTCATTTATCAGTGGAATGTGGCAAGAGCTGCATCATGAAGATCCTGTATGCACCTCACTTGCTTCTACTAAGCACACAGATAATAGATGTGCATCTCTTTAGAACGCTCCCATGGGGTTTTTAAAGCCGTCCCTTCAGTGATCCACAAGGCAAACTGATTTTGCAGCTGCAGCATGGTAGTAAAGCAGTTTCTGATTCAGGAAGAGTGGGCCAGTTGATTAAATAATTAACAATGAGAACTTCTTTATGCTAGCACAAACTTAAGATAACTTTTTGGATTTCAACTTTTGCTAGCCAGTGCATGGAGGAGATCTGTTTACAAGTTGCACCAACTGAATATGAATCCACATTGGCACAGATCTTTGGAAATTCAAAGCACAAAGCCCCAAAGCAACAAAGAAAGCTACTGCAGTAAGAATGAATCAAGCCTCCAAAAAGTAAACTGTCATGATGGATTCCTCATAAGGGATAGACTTGGCCCTGATTAGTTAGATGAAAAATGTGAAGTAGGATGCAGAGACAAAATATAGCCAAAGTCTGTAATCTTTTGACTGTTGTGTTATCACTGTTTGTTATGCTTACCAACTTACCAACTAAGGGCCGACTGGTTGTTATTTGGCATTATGTAAAGCCGGCCAAGACTTTGTATAATATACATTTATTCCTATCATACTTATAAAATGGGTCAGTATTTTTTCATTTTGTAAAAGTAACTTTTATTATGGCATTACTTTGGAATGAACTAAACAGCAGGAAAACAGGATACTGTGTTGCAGTCGATCAATATGTACGGGATGCTTTGCAGTATATGCCATACGTAGTATGCTAGCACTTTACAATGAAGTTGTTGTGGCTGATAGGGAAGCACCAAAAGTAATGGCTGGATTGGAACTAGACCTTCTACAGTTGCAATAAGATCTGCCCATGGTTCTTCAGCATAATCAAAAATATGTATACATAGCTGAGTATAACACTGAAGCAGTCTCATTGCAAGTCAGAAAAATGTGGTTGCCCATACTCTGAAAGTCTGATGAAAAACTGATATCCAATGTTAACGAACCCGCTAACAAACCAAACATATTCTAGCAGCTGTAATATAAAATTTGTAACTAATAATTCTACATATTGCACCATATATTGTGCAATATTCAATGTATTAATTGCTTCAAAGGCAGTTGCTTAACAAACTGTCCAAAGAAAAAGAAAGTAACGTAAATAACCCAGCAAAGATTTCTAAGTATTTTGGTAACCCTACCTTAAAAGTTTTAATAAAATGAATCAGGGTCAGTTTTTTCCTAAAACTGTGGCATGATTTAAAAACCAAGGGGATCATCCAAGTCTTCTTGAAAATGGAACTGCTTCTATGAACAGAATGGGAAGGTAGACCGTACCCCATGAAAGCTCCCCTCCCCCCCAAAAAAACTGCTTTGGAGGACTGGGAACCCTGTGGAGTAAATGGGGGGGGGGGGAGGGTCAGGTGCAAGCAGAAAGTCCCATCATGCAATAAAGGACATCACCCCATTTATATTAATCTCTTTACTCACCAATGGGGCCATTCCAAGGGATATCCGACAATGCAAGCGCCGCAGAAGCTAAAAGTAGCAAGATGTGTTACTTGCAATGGGTTGCAATGTTTCACTAACTCTAATTATGCTGTGGCTTACAACAAAAAAAGTTACCTCCATTGATTGCTAGTATTTCAGGTTCATTGATACCATCCACAGCTAAAAGATTGCAAATGATCTGTTGCAGGAAAAGAAAATAAAGATTTTAAATAGTTTGATATGATGCTATTTAAGATAGTATAAGCCGTGGTTCCTCAAACTACGGCCTGCAGGCCATATCCGGCCCGCCATGCCCATTTATCCGGCCCACCTCAGAGGTTTGGGATTCCCCGTGCCCGCTCGCCTGCCGCTGCCTTGTTGCGGGCGAGGCAGCAGCTTGCTTGCTCGGAGGCGGTTTTGGACTCACTCAGAGATCTCTGAGTGAGCAAGCCACAGCCGTGCATGCCCACCGCCACCTCACTGGCCCGCGCCCACAGGCACCCCTGCCTCACTGGCCTGTGCCTGTTGCTGCTGCCTTTCAACTGGTCCTCTGTTGAAAAAGTTTGAGGACTCCTGGTATAAGCTGTACATCCACAGAAATTATATAAACTGCCTGCTTTATTGAGAATAAATCAGTCTTGTTTAGATAACGACTGCTTTCTCCAGTTTCCTCTTTCATGTATACTCTGACCAAAATTCAGGATGTTCCTTTGAGCTTCCCTTCCTATCTGGTCACCAACATTATGGAATATGGGTGGAAGGGTGCTTGTGCTGAACAGTCAGTCGGAACAGAATGCCGAACTAAATGGATGTTGGTCTCATTCAGCATAGCTCCTCTTACGTTCTTATCACTGCATCTCAATCCAAGGCCAGGTTTTAACAAGAGAGTGATAATGCACATTTGTTTAAAGTTGCAGTAACCCTCAAAGCAGCAATTTAATAATTATTTAGCAACATGGTACACAGAATTACTTAGAAAACAGTGAAAAGTAACACGTGATCCTACCTGTGTATCATAATAGTAGCCTGCTGGAAAAAGAGGCCTAATTGACCGATCTGTAAGACAGCATCAAGTATTTTAAGATTTCCCATAAAAGAATTACATGTGACAGATGTAAAATATTTTTATGAGCAAAAGCCTTCTCAAGATGGCTTGATAAAATCCCACACACTAATAAAACAGCAAACATTGATAACATCAACAAGCACCAGCAATAGAACACCCAGCCTATAGTGCCAAAATTTAATCTAAAAATTGCAATCAAAGGCTAAAAACAGTTTAATGAAATGCAGTAAGAAAGAGGGCAAAGGAAACAGATGCAGAGTTTTCCTAAAAGTTTGTAATGATGATGCAAGTCCTTCCTAAAAGTGTGTTGCTGCTGCAGAAAACTCTCTCTCCCTGACTTCCAAGCTGGCATGCTTAGGATGATTCTGTATGATTCAAGATACTGTAACCTAAAGGCAGGTTCATACTTGGGGAAACAGCTTATTCTCCATTTTTGAACTTCCAAGTAATCATTGTGATGGTATGAGATAACAGTTGAGGTTCTTATTGTATACCTATTACTCTGCTTGTAAGAATTTCTCTGTCCGTAGAACCCAGTTCTCGTCGCAGATAATTAGTAGGAATTCTTCCTGCTGCAGCAGCTTTTTGCCGATAGTCAACCTTATGCATCAAAAGAGACAGCATTCCCTTTTTATTAAAACTACATTCAGGATATTGTAATAAATCAAGAGTTTACAGTGAAGCTTATCTGGTTCACCCAAAGTTATTAAATAATTGTTTAGACATCACCTAGAATTTTGTATACATTACTTCCAATTTAACCAACTAAAGAAATTATGAGGACAGGTATGCACCATGAATAGTTCTTCCGTATGGCTCATTATAGTACTTACCACCAACGGCATGAACTGAGAAGGAGAAGGCTTTGTCTTGCTGACTGCAGTCACCATCACTGATGTATCACCTAGCTTGATGTATTAAACAGTGAAAAGAAAAGAAAAAAAAATGATTGTGCTGGTTTGGCTTACAGCAGAGTGAGATGAATCTTCATTTTACAGCTCTTTCATTTCTTCACATAAAAGGCACTCAAGGACTGAAATCTATCTGTGGTGCAAACAAACTGAATTTAAAAACATTTTCTACCTGCACAACAGCACATCCATCAGCAAATCTGGCCAGTTTTCCAGAAGATATTTCTAATTTTCTAGGAAGAGATGAAATCAAGCTTAATTAATTCAAAACTATTAATGTTAATTAATTATTTTCAACTTCAAATGATTACTATTCAACATATGCTATTATTCATTAATTAATTGTGTGACTCCATGAAAGATGCAGAAGGGATCTTTAAGATGGCAGAGAGGGAGAGGTACCAAGGAGAACACAATCTTTGACTATGCAGTTATGTAATTCCACACTGGAAATAGAAATCCAAGGGCAGATCAGAATAATTATTATTTTTACAGTTTTGCTGTACATATTGCCAAGTAAAACATCCTAACTAGTATATTTTGCTAAGCAGCCATACAAAAGCACTAGTATATTTGCTATAAGGTCAGGGCAGGGAAAGAGGAGGCTCTAAAATGCCCCGAGGAAAAACCCACAGGGGGCTAAGAAGGAAAATTGTACTGTCCTGAGATTCAAGCCACCTGCACCAGAGCCCACAAAGCTTAAATCTGTGTGGAAAGGCTGCTCAGTGGCGAGGGAAAGGGGCTCTGCACATGCCTGAAAGTGTTCTTGTATCAGGATAAGGCTGATTGATAAGGCTGCAGCTGCTCAGCCACAAGGAAAGCACCCTGAAAATAGTCAAATGTGTCCATCACTCTGTAAGATCGAAGCAGGGGAAAAAGCCCTCCAAAAGATCTGGAAGTGCTTTCATCAGTAGGGAGGAAAAAGCATTCTCTCCGCATGCTCAGAAATGCTCTATTGGTCCAGGCTACTTCACGTATTCCAAGAGCTCACATGCGCCTTTGGAAACAGATTCCGGGGCTCGACCCTGGAAGCCTTTAAGTCCTGCTGGAAGGAAGCAAGAGACCCTCCCGCCAGGAGTAAAAGAAATCATCCCACACTGCCTCCACTTTACCTGCTTCCCAAATCCACCAACACCGTTTTAGGGGCTCCAGCCGAGCTCTGCAGGCCCCGAGCGAGCTGCAGACGCGCCAGCCCAAGGCGACCCACCCCCCTCATCCAAGTCCCCATGGCGCCGGGTCCCCGAAAGGCCGCCGCCGCCGCTCGCGCCCTCCACCTCAGCCACGCACAGGACCTCACACAGGCGGCGGCCATGATACGAGAGTCACCCGGCAAAGAGGCCTCCCGCACTAAGCCGCGAGATGATTGGCTCCCCGAAACAAGCTCAAGCTTCATTGGCTGTCCTGTCCGGAGCGTGCTTGAACAGGAGGGGGGGGAAGGAACCAATGAATGACGGGGTAGTAGGTGGAGCTGAAGAGCGGGAGCCGCTAGAGGTTCGCTTTCGATTTCCGAGGCCATTCAGGGGCTGGTGCCGCAGGAGCGCGTGCGTGGTTCCGGGGGCTGGCGCGTTCCCACGCTTGGGCCAATAGGGAAAGCGTAGATCGCGAGGGCGTTCCCTCCGCTTTCTCGCCACGTGCTTGCGAGGGAGGCTCGGCAGAGCCTGAGCCTGAGCGCCCCACGTTTCGGCAGGGTAATGCTGGCAACCCCGGGCAGGAAATCCTCCTTCCCCATGGGGCCATTCTCCTCGGGCTTGGAATTCGGGCTTCCACACAAACCTACGCATGTTTACTCCCAATGGGACTTGCCCTTTAATAAGTTTAAGTAGCATTAAAGCCTTGATCTCTTTTGTTTTGAGCGGTGGTTCACATCCGGCCGTCACATAGTTTTCCGTTATGCCTTTTTAAGCATGTTCATCTACAGAAAACAGCAAATGAAGCTTTTCACAGTTGGTGATGAACACGATCTCTTTCTAAGACCTGTCAATCAAGCTGCTGTTAAGGACCCAGCCACAGAGGCTAGTTGCATTGCTGGCAACTCTAAAATGCCGGGCAAATCTAGTAGGTCCAAGTGCTGCAACCAACTATATTGTGTTGTATTGCAAGAATAGATTCATAGAATACTAGGGCTGGAAGGGGCCAAGAAGGTTATCAGGCCCAGCACCTTGCCTAGTCACCTTGCCAGTTTCACCTTGAATGCCCCTAGTGTGGGAGAGCCCACCGCCTCTCCAGGCAGCTGGTTCCACTGTCGTATTGCTCTGAGAGTGAGGACACTTTTCCTGATATCTAGCCTGAATCTGGTGAGTTGTAGACTTGAGTTCATTGTTCTCTGGCCTACACTCAGGGATGGGTGAGAAGAGATCTTGACCTTCCTCTTTGTGACAGCCTTTGAGGTACATGTACAGTGTTATCATAGCCCCTCTCAGTTTTCTCGAGGCTGAACTTTCCCAAACGCTCTGTCTCTCATGGTAAGGCTTGGTTTCCAGATCATGGATCATCTTTTGCCTTTGCCTTTCTCTGAACCCTTCCTAGTTTTTCTGCACCTTTTAAACACTTGGATGCCCAGCATTGAACACTGTATTCTAGGTGAGGTCTGACCAGTGCAGAGTAAAGGGGAACTAGTACCTCTCTTGTTCTGCTAATGATACTTCTATTTATGCAGCCCAAAATAACATTTGCCCTTTTTGCGGTTGCTTTGCATTGCTGGCTCACATTTATTTATTTATTTGTTTTATTTATTTATCGATTTATATCCTGCCTTTTTCCTACAAAGGGCTCAAGGCAGCTTACATCATTCTCCTCCTCCATCTCATCCCCACAACAACAACCCTGTGAGGTAGGTTGGGCTGCGAGTTTGTGACTGGCCCAAAGTCACCCAGTTGGCTCCATGGCTGAGCAGGGACTAGAACCCAGGTCGTCTGAGTCCCAGTCCCATGCTCTTAACCACTACACCACACATTGAGCTTGTCCACGAACAACAAGTCCAAGGTCTTTTTCTTTCTCAGTTCTGTTGAGCCACATATTTCCCATCTTGTAATCAATGCATTTGGTTTCTTTTTTCCTAGGTGCAGAACCTGGCATTTGCCTCGGTTGAATTTCATTCTATGTTCAAGTGTTCTAGCTTGTCACCCTGGATCTTCTCTTTCTCTTCTTGGTGTTAGCTATTCCACCCAGTTTTACATCATCTGCAAATTTAATTATCCTTCCTTGGACTTCCTCATCTAGATCATTAATAAAGATATTTCCCCAAAATGGAGCCCAGTGGCACGCCACTGGTTACCTCTCCCCAGCTTGAGAAAACGACATTGATGAGCACTCTTTGTGACCGATTTTGTAGCCCATCGTGGCTCCACCTAATACAAGTTCCATCAAACCCAATTTTTGCTCTAGTTTATCAAAATGTAGTGGGGCGCTATAACATGGGTTGTATCTGCTCTGATAGGAAATGTCTTATCCTATTGAAAACATCCTTTATTTATCACTCCTTGGAGTGTGAAGGTATATAGCTCTCTTGTTTGGAGAGAATATGTGGTTGCTTTATTTACACTCATTCAGCAGAATAATGCGAGCACAACAGCACAACCATGACCATACTGAGCTTCCTACACGATTGAATTAGAACATAGTTTTGCACATTAAGTGAACTTCGCTTGTCATCCAGAGTTAGCCGGCATAAATGATCTACGACAATGCAGAACCTGCTGGCTGTACATTACGAGCTTTTCATTTTATTACCCATGTCTTGTGTTTCCACAGCAGAGTGACAGCAAATGACATCTTTGCACATCACCTGCAGTACTTAGATTTATTAATTTAAAAAACCTTCAGGCGGTAAGTTCAACAGCAGCTGAGGTTTGTGGCACTTAGAAGTCTAGCAGAGCTATTGCCGATGGAACAGTGGGTACCCCGATCGTAACGTAAGCTTCTGTGGATTGTAGGGCGAGCCCAAAACATCTTGCTGCCTGAAGCAAAGGACACAATCAGGGCTGGTGTGGGGAGCTGGCATGGTTGGGCACCTGCTAAGGACCCATAACTTAGCAGAGACCCCTGCCAAGCAGAGGCGGCTTACCAGGGCCAGAGCCTCCGATCTTTCATGGAGCGTTCCAGATTTCTGAGATGCCACCAGTCCCACCACCCACAGTCCATAGGCACGTGCCGGCACCCGGGTCCAGAGGCCCTGATGATCTCTGTTGCATTTGGATTAGCGGGCTTTTGACACACATGTGCTTCACCTCCTTGAATCTTTCTTCTGAAATCAAAGACCCCCTTCTCCCCTGTCCAAGCACCTGTTTTTACAAATATGGGTGTCCTTGGGCGACAGGGTCTTTGAAAACACACACACACACACACACACACACACACACACACAGAGTTACTTGAGGACACACACAAATGCAGATGCATGCACTGGGTTTTGCTCTGTGCATCTGAGCCTTGAATCTTTTCGGAACGGAGCACTGCCCTGTTGGCGAGAGCGGCTGTCCCGCCTCTTCACTGCAACACCCGCTTGTTCTCCTGCCTCCTGTGCTGCCTGAACAGCCGTGCTGCTGGTGAGGGGAAGGTGCAGCAGGCGCTGCCGCCTGTTCGCCACTGTCCATGTCAGCAGCAAGCAAGAGAACCGCTGGTGACCACGGCACGGAGAAGGTGGCCTCACTGAGGGAGGGGGGCCACGGAGGGGGTCTTGCCCAAGACCCACAGAAACCTGGGCAGAATGATGTCTTCCCCAGATTTCTCTTTCCCTCATTCCCAGTACAAAAGGTGAGCAGGATGGCAGGTGAATGCTATTTCCACGCACATTCTGTTGGCGCATCACACAGTGCACTGGCGGGAATTGGGTTCCACCCTCCTCCCTTTCTAACAACAGGCAGTTCTTTTGCAGACAAGCACTTTCTTTATTTGCAGCCAGCAAGCTATAGAGAGTCCCTGAGCATGAACTGAGTAGCTCATTGAATCCAGATTAGAAACTATTTCAGTGTTCGCTCCTTTTCAGTGACGCCAGACTCCATCCCACTGGCTGTGCTTCTCTGGAGAAGGGATAACCTCCTAGATCGACACAGACCATCTAGTTGGGTAGCCCTTCACTCCCAACGCTGTATCGGGGTCAGAGATGGGCCTGACTCTGGCTCCTCTCCCATGTCCCCTCCCAGCACAAGGTCTTCCTGAACCCTCGGAAACAGCCTTGAGAAAGCTTCTTCCTCCTCCACCATCTCTGTGTCTGCTCCTTCTCTCCCAAGCCTCACAGTCCTCTTCCGAAGGGTCCTTGTCGGCAGGACCCTGGGAAGCATGCCAAGGAGAAGTGCCTCTCTCACTCTTCCTCATGTGCACTGGAGGGCAGCGGTGCTTAGTGGGCACCTCTGCATGGTCAGCTTTTTAACCTTCAGGGCCCCTGGGCCCATTTACAGTTTCTTCCCCTGCCCCAATTTTGCTTTCATGTGTCTCTCTACATGTATATATAACATGCCAGGCAATGATACCGCTTTACATATCACTGCTCACTGATTCCAGCACTTGGATCCACCATCCTGCAAGACCATTCAGCAATAGAGGGACTTCTAAGATGTTCCTTGCCATCTCTAGATCTCAAAATAGCGAGAAGAAACCCAAGGAGGAGGACATGTGTCAAGGATCCTGGGACTAGACTGGAAATAGCTTTAGAACAGGGCTGCGGAACCACTTTCGGTCCATGGCCCACGTTCCACTTTGGAGAAATTCTCGGGGCTGCATTCTTGTCGGGTGGGAGCTAAATGGAGTGCTGGAAAGGGGCATGCCTGTTGAGCTGGTGTCTGTTACTGCCAGGCAATGTGCCATAAGAATGGTATTTCAGCAGAGAAGGGGAGAAATTACACAAGAGCTGGGAAGCTATCACATTATCTGCAGTTGGGAGGAAGGGGGCATGGCCTTCTGAGAAACTTCGGCAGGCCAGATTTGGCCCCAGAACTTGTGGTTCTGCACCCTTGTTACTGGCACACTGAATGCTTGCCCACAAGTGGTGGAGTGCGCATAGAATTGGTGGCACACATCCTACCTGAGACTTGCATCAGATATGGCTGCATTCTGGACGCACTGCATTTTACATTCTGCCTTCACAAGTGCCCGTGTGGACCCACACCAGAGCCAGGTGAAGGCATCCCTTCACATCCCTTTCTGAGATCGTATGGAGGGATAGAACTGTGAATCCAAGCAGATGAGCATCTCTCATGCATTGGGTAGGCAGTGCTTGATGATCAATAATTCACATTTGTTCGATGGAGAAGCTGCTCTAATTGCTCTCTGGTTTATGGAAGATCAATGAGGTCACGTCAAGCTC